CTTCCCCACCTTAATGCAGGAGGGGTCACCACTGCCCTGAATTGATTCCCTAAACCTCAGGATGAAAAGGGGAGAGGTTTGAAGGAGAAGGACAGAGGTGGTGGATATTGGAGAATTAGTGGAATTAACTTAGGTTAAGACATGAGTGCACAGGTTAACTCCATCCCTACAGGGCTGCTGGAAGCTGCTCCCAGCCCATCCCAGGTGCTCAGAATTCCTCTACTGCTCAGGAACTGAGAACAGCAAAGGTGTGACACCTTGGCCTCTGCCAGCCCCAGCTATATCTCCCTCTATGGCCTTGGGAAGTAGGCAGGCAGGCAATCAGGAGTCTCTGAAATAAATAACTGCAGCAGGTTATTTATTTCCTGAAAACCACCAGGTACTGGGCGTGGAGACCATGGGGATGGGATGGCTTTTCCACAGGTCTGGGCCCTGGGGAGGCAGATGAGCACTGATCTGGAAATCAGGAATGTGGTGGTTGTGCAGGGAAGGGGGGGAGTTGGCTGGGCAGGGCAGGAGATGGGAATGCCTAACTTGGGGTGTTCCCAGCTGGTGGGACAGGGTGGACAAGCAACACTCCCTCAGTGGGGTTATTGCAGCTCAGAGTGGGAGTGGGAGCCTGGAGCAAAACGGACACAGAGCTGGGCAGGAGGGTTAGTAATCATGGCTGGCCCCTTTCATCATCATCCTCTTCCCTGTCTGGCTTTTGTTACTCACACCAAGAGCCCAGCCCAGTGCTGGGCACTGCCCTCTGAGCCCCCCTGAACCCCCCATGACTCAGCCAAGGCTTCCCCAGGCACAGCCAGCCTGGAATGGGTTCCCCTGGCCTCCTCCCCCTGCAGGATTTCTGCGCTCATTGACTGCAAACCACAAAGGCGGCTGCCCAAAACCTCAGTGAGAATCACCCTCACTCAAACACTGGCAGGAAAAGCATTGGGGGGGACTTGGAGGCTCCCCCAGGACCTGGGTGCTGGAACACACCACATTTACCCATTGGAGATCATTCCTATTTTTCTATTACACAATAAAAACACAGCGAGGCAAATTCCTGTGAATAAAAGGGAAAAGATGGGGCAGCAAAGAGTCACAGAAAACAGACCCATCTCTGAAAAATAGTCTTTTCTGCTTAGCAAACAAGCACTTTCTGTTTGCACCCATCAAACAAACATGCTTGATTTTGTTTTGTTTCACAGCCAAGTCATCATTTCTCCAAAATTATTTCAAGAGCACAACAGGGGCCAAATAAATTTGCAAAACAGGCTTAGGTAAAGAATGACAGAGCTCAGTGGCAAAGCTCACAGCCCTTTTCAAAGCCTGCGTGGAAACCACAGGAAACATCAGGGTTAAAAAAAGCTTTGCCTTATGTTTAACTCAAATTTGACTTCTAGTGTTGGAATCAAAGAGGGGAATAAATGAAGGCATTGCATCACCCTGCCAAGGAAACCAGAGGAGATGGAGAGAGGAGCACCGTGGATTCGGGGGGACACCATGCAGGCGCCTGTGCTGCTGATGGGAATGTCAGAGCCTCGCCATGGAAAGCGCTGACTGATGCCAATTAAAGTGAAATCATAATCAAGCCGTTTGTTTTGGTGCCCAGAGAGCTGCTCCAAAGGTCTCAGCAATGCCTGGACTCGGTTCAAGCACTGGGTGGAAGTTCAGGATGGGTCCTCTCAGCGTGAGCCACTCGCTGCTGGTGAGGGCAGAGCTGTGTGGACATGGTGGGAGGGGATGAAGATCAGCCTCACCCTCACAATCTGTGCTTAAGGACACAAGGAAGGACAGAAAACTGACTTTTACCTGCACACAACTCCTCAGTGTAACCCCAAAGCAGGACCAACACATCCATCAGTAAAAGCACTGTGACACAACACCCTCAAACCCTTTCCCTATTCCCGCAGGCTTTGCTGCACCCAGGAGTAAATCCTACCCCTCCTATCCCAGGCAGCAGCCCTAAACCAACATCTAAAGCTTGACTTAAATGAAGTACAGTGATCCAAAGTGCTGGTACCCACGACATGCCTGTACCCTCCAGCAGAAATATCATGAGATGTAAGGAAATACCTGAACACCTCCAACGTCTCTGGTCCTAAACTGATTCCCCACAGTGGATTGTACAGAGCAAAGCCTTTTCAACGGAGAAATCTCCTTGCAGCTTTCAATCCAGCTTTTTTCCCAGCACTGAATTCACTCTGCTTGGAGGGACAGAGCTGAAAAGAGCCTCTTGGCAGGGCACTGCTGTTTGACAGCAGCTTGGGCTCCTCAGCACCTGCCACCCCAATAAAATAACCTATTTCCAACAGCCAAAGCCTCTCCCTTGGGAAGAGGGTGGGACAGGATTTCCAAGTGCTCCAGAGAAAGAGCAACTTCTGCTGCTGAGTTTTCAGCTTGTTCTTCCCTTTTGGCATCTGTGAAACACCAAGAAGGGACCTCTAGAAACATCTCTCCTTCCAAATCCTTGGCTGCAGCTCCCTGTCCTCCCACCTTGCATGGAAATGAGTGGGATTGGATTAGACCTGATTTTTTTTTTCCCCTTTTCTGACTGCCACCCATGCAGGGTTGGGCAGGAGGTGGCCAGGAGCATGGCTGGGGTCTGCCAGAGCCTTTATAGCAGCATTGCTATTCTGCACAAGTTAAACTCCTCCACAACAGATCGATGGGCACGCCAGGCTGGGAGGGGAGCGGGCAGGAAGATTCATGCTTCCTTGATTTCCTCAGGTTTTCACATGCTCTGCTCCTCCTGGCTCCTGCCACAGTGCAGCATGACAGGGACTGACCAGGGGATGCAGCAATGTCCCTCTGCCTGCTGGGCCAGCTGCTCCCACCTCAAACCAGCAGGAAAACCCCTCCAAATGCCCAGGCAAAGCCACACCTGCATGTCTCTGTCACCAGAGCAGAGCACTGAGCTGGTGGTGGCAGCAAGCCATTCATTTCCAGGAGCAATCCCTGCTCCAGGGGCAGGAATGTCATCAGCACAGGGGGAGCAGAATCTGCACAAGCTGCACACCCCAAAGCCCACATGCCCCTCTCCTGGGGCACACCTGTATTGGCAAGGCACCTATCAAGGGACAGGGACATCCCCTGTCACCAGAGTGGTTCCCAGCTCTACAGGGATGCACCCATGGCAGCTCTGGGATGATGGCACACTGCTGTCCTCCCTCCCCAGAGCCACCTCCCAGGGACAGGATTTGTCCCCTTTCCCATGAAATGTCCCTGACAGAAGAATCCCTCCTGCTGACTCACCCAAGCTTCCCTTTGTTCTCCTCCAGCACCAGTGACCACCCAGTGCCAGGGCAGAGCACTTCAATCCATGGTGTGGATCAAGATCCCTGATCTATGGCCAAAACCCTGTGCAGGCCCCCACAAGAGCCTCTTCCCATAAGTTTGCAGAGCACCCACGCAGCTGCTGCCACCCTGTGTGTTTCACTGCCCAGACCCCCTGTAACCCTCCCTCTTTGACAGCAGGATCTGTAGGAATTTTGGCACTTGGAAGAACACAGCGGTTCAGGAAAGAAGAAGAGCAACCACTTTTTTAAGCCAAGCTCAAATTCCTAAGCAAGACACTCTATCCTCCATCCTCTGCCACCTTCTCCAGCCTCTTTGCCCAGTTGTGCCATGACAAGACAAACCCAGGGGAATGGCCACAACACAGCTCCCACCCTCCCAGGAGCACTCAGGGGCTCTGAGGGGGACACAAGATTTGGCTTCAAACAACTGAGTTGCAGGAAAATTCCTGCTGAAATTCCTCCTGGGGCTTTTTTTTCCTGCCCTGGCTTGGCACCTGGGACAACACAGCAATTCAGGAAAGAAAAGGAGCTACTTCTTTTTTTAAGCCAAGCTCAAATTCCTAAGCAAGACACTCCATCCTCTGCCACCCATTCTCCAGCCTCTTTGCCCGGTCCTGCCATGACAAGACAAACCCAGGGGAACGGCCACAACACAGCTCCCACCCTCCCAGGAGCTGGGAGCTGGGGAGGGGGACGCAAGATTTGACTGCAAACAACGGAATTGCAGGACAATTCCTGCTGAAATTCCTCCTGGGGCTTTTTTTCCTGCCCTGGCTTGGCCGCTCTCCACGGGCTGGCCTAAGGCAGGAGTGCAGTGTCACCGCACACGCCCAGCTGGCCCCGCAGATGTCGGTGTCACCTATGCAATGCCCCGGAGGAGCAAAGTCGCTCCCGAGCATGCCGGAGTTGCAAGCGCCGCTTCCCAGCGCTGCAATTAAAACCTGGCTTTTGATTTTTAATGTCCCTATCAAACATCCTCTGGGATGACTGCGCCCATCTGCTGTGAGGACAGGGACGAGTGTCTGGGCATAAGATGTCCCAGAAATTATGCCGAGCTAAATTACGGATTCCTTGGCAGCCCCGGAGCCCCTCGGATCGCTGCTGCAGGAGGCAGGACCCTGGTGCAACGCCCAGCCCCCATCTCTCCCCTTCCCATGGAGGGAACGCTGCCAGGGAGCAGCAGCCCCTGCCTCTGGAGCGCAGGGATCTTTAAGGAACGGAGCATCAACCTGCCCCGTCCCGCACTTCCCAATTCCAGCAGGTCTGCACCTGAGATAAAGGCACAAAGCCACACCAGGGGGTCACCAGCTCACCCTTTCCCCAGGCTGGGGCGGTCTGACACGGGTGCAGACACCCCGGGCACTGCACGCCAGGAGCAGAGCGGGATTCATCTGCACCGAACGCGGCCCAAGTGCCCGAGCCACGGTACCGACAGCAGCAGCGGAGCCCCTGCCTCGCACTGCTGGGGGGCAGGACGCCCAAAGGGAACCACAGCCCCTTATTTTTCACCCCCCAGTAACTTTCCCGAACACAACTGGGAGGGCTGAGCCCAAGCCCGATCCCCCGGCGCTCCAATCTCTCAGCTCGCTGCCCGGGACCATCGCACACCGCCAGCCTGCACGGCGCATCCCCCGCGGGGAAACTGAGTCACGACCCCAAAGTCACCACGCAAGCAGCACCCCCGAGCCCCCCAAGCCCCCGTGCAGCTGCTCCTACCTGAGCGTGGCGCTCTCCCCTTGCCGCACTGTCACGTTGTCCATGGCTTTGGGGAAGGTGGCATCTCCGCTGCGCACGGGCACTCCTGCGGGCACAAGGAAGAGCAGCCTGAGACAGAGGACGACCAGGCACCTCCAGGGCAGGGCCAAGCACCCACCGACCCCCATCCTGGGCAGCGGGGACTTTTCCAACAGGCAAAAAACACACCCGACAAGGCGAAAAGGGGGAAGGGGTGGGTGGAGAGGAGGGATGGGGGGGAGCAAAACCACCGGGGCGAGCGCTGCGGAGCTCCACGGAGATCAGGAGAGCCCCCGGCAAGGCTGGCTGCGAGCGCTGAGCCTGCCGAGCGGCATCGGAGGGAGTCCCGCTGTCCTCGGGCGAGGGAGGAGGACGGGAGGGCCGGGGGGAGGAGGAGGAAGAGGAGGAGGAGAAGTGGCAAAGGTGCTGGGCGAGCCGGTTCTTCGGGCAGCAGTCCGAGGCTCACTTGGACGAGGAGGCGCCGGGGGGGCCCGGCTGTACCCCACTCCCGCACTCTTGTCCCGAGGCGGGGGCAGTCCAAAAACCAATAAAAAACCCCAAAAAAACACCCCCGAGGCGAGCTAGCAAAGGTGTCCAGGCGCAAGAAGGCACAGCAGGCAAAACCCTTCGGGATGCCCTGCAGCTCCTCTCCTCCCGCCCCGCTGCCGGGGGACTGCTCCAGGCGGGATGCAGAATGCGGGGATGTCGGGCTGCCGGAGCCCCTGGCTGGCCTCAGCGGCGGGCGGGGGGGATGCGGGGGGGCGGCGGCGACAGCAGCACCCCGGCCCCGGCCGGCAGCATCCCCGGGGTTGTCATGGCAGCGGCTCCAGCGCTGCCCGGCGCCTCGGCTCCCGCACGGCCCGAGCCCCGCACACGGGCGGGCGGGCGGGCGGCAGCGGGGCGGGATGCGCAGGAGGACACGCACATTAACCCCTGCCGCGCCGCGCTCTGCGGGGGCACGGCAAGACCCCCCCACCCCCGCTCCTTTCTCCTCTCTCTCTCCCCCTGCGCTTACCTGTGTCCCGCAGCCAGCGCCGCACAACTCTCCCCTTTGCCCTCCTCTACCTCTGCACCTTCCCCATCCCAGGCGGCAAAGTCACTGTGCAAGAGGGGAAACTGAGGCACGGGTAATATCCCCCCCCGCTTCCCCCCCAGGCAGGTGATGATGAGGAGAGGCAGGAGCGTGTCCTCCTGGTCCCCTGCACCTCACAGACACAGCGTGAGCTTAAGTGGCAAATTCCTCCCCAGCCGCAAGCACGGTCCCCGTGTACTTTTTATCAGCTCATAATTTAACAAATATCACATTTGCTTATGCCGAGTAATTCCTCCTTCCCTCCGCTAGTGGCTAGACACATTAATATTTCCAGGCACAGTTCCATGCTGGTAAAAAGGTGCTGGGGAGCATCCTCAGAGTAGAGAGTCCTGGAGGCAGCAGTCAAATCACAGCTCTTGGGGTGCTGCACCCCTCAAACCCCCCAGCTGTCACAGCCCAGCCTCAGGGAACACCAGATCTCCGCCCTTGCTGTGCCCAAAGCCTTCCCTGCTTTGCCTTACCCAAAAATCCTCCCTCCATTCCCCCACCGTGTGCTCGGCAGCTTTTGCACGGCACCAACGTGGGGTGGTGGGGTTTGTTTTGTGGGGTTTTTGTTGTTGTTGTTGTTGTTGTTTTTGAGTTTGCTGCTGGCAACCTGAGCTGGATTCAAACCAGTGACCTAGATGTGAAAGGATCCGTAGCCCGTTACTAATCCCTGGAGTCTCCGAATCCCCTGTAAACTACTGCTTAATTCACTAACTGTGCTATTTAATCTCTAAAACATTATGAGCTGTGCCGGGCAGAGGAAACACTCCATCAAATAAAGCTTTATTATTATTGTGCATGCTGGCTGGTCATACGAGAAGGGGATTGCTCTGCAAGTCTCTCTACTTTTTCCTTGTCTGAAGGTTCTGTGCTCCTTGAATTTAGCGCTGGTGGGACGTGCTGCCTCCAGCCCTGTGTTTTCCCAGAGGAAACAGCAGCTTTGCCCAGCTCTTGGCACAAGGACTTTAATCCCCGCAGTGAACTCGGCTGTCAGAACTGGCAAGGGAGGGGGGAACGCCGCATTCAGCGGATCCTTTGGGGCCACAAATGACATGGGAGGGGTCTCTGAAACCTCACTGCGTAAGGAGAGACCGTCAGAGGCAGGGGAAAAGGCTGTCCAGGGCTGGGTACAAGAGAGCAGAGAATAAAACACAGCAATCCTGCCGGTGGCTGCGGCATCCAGGCACCCCTGGCAGGATGGGGACCCCCCGGGATACCTGCAGCACCATCACACAAGAGCTCGCTCTTTGTGGGGCCGCTCCTTTGAATGGGCAGAGACCAACTCCTGTGTCAGCAAAAGCAGAGGGATTCCAATAACCACCGCCAGTTAACCTCTTAACACGGAATTCAGCCCCGCATCGCCAGGAGCATCTGAAATTACGAGCGAAAAAACACCTCCCTGCACTGAAAGCACGCGAGGCTGGGGCAGATGTGACCTGCAGAGCTGTTCCAGCCCTTGCCAGGGCTGAATTTGGCCCACTGCTAGGAGATCATCAGCAGCATTGTTTGAAAATCCCAAGGAATTTACATCCAATATGCTCCTGCATACTAAAGCCCGGCAGAATCCCTGCTCTCCCTCCCTCTCTTGCATACATACAATGTACATATAAATCAGCCTGTCACAGCTCGTCTCTTTTCTGACAGCAGTAATTGCTTCGGACTATAAAAATATCTATAGACAATAAACACAACGCGGGAAAACAGCAAAGAGAAAACCAAATCAAGGTTCCTTTAAATAATTCAGTTGCTCCAGCAGCAGTGGAGCCAGCAACTGAGTCCAGCTGTGAAGGTTCAGCAGCGAGAGAAAGAGAGCTTTGTAGCCTTCTCTGGGGATGAGAGAGTCTTTTTTCCTTCATTGGGTTTTGACCACAGCAGCAGCAGAGTTTGCTGCACACGGGCTGAGCCCATCTGAGCACCAAACAGCCTCTCGCTTTCAGCTTCTTCCCTTTCTTCCTACTTAGGTGAAAGTCTTTGTTTTTCTTTTTCCCCTCCTCGTTTCGAGCAACAGGCAGGAGGCAAACAGAACGAGCCGAGCACAGCACGTTCGAGGTGTGTCTCTATCTCCGCATCCATCTCACTGCTCTCCTTCCCAGCAAGGCTAAAGGCCCCCCTCTCCTGGCAGAGACCACAAACAGGGCAGCAGGAGCAGCACGGGCTGGACAGGGTGGGAAGTGATGCACGACAAGGATGGAGCCAGGAGAAGGATTTTCCCCGTGGGAGATGGCAGCTGGACGGGAGGATGCTCTGAAAGCCTGGATGGAGAAGGGGTCAGAAGGAGCAAGGCCCTGGGGGTTTGCTTCCCAAAGGAGCATCTCTGTGGATCGCTGGGGAGGAGGAGCTCAGAGGCAGAGCAGGGAGCAAATCAGTCCCAAAAATGTCCCACAGGGAAGAATGGTGGCATTTGGATTGCTGCAAGGGACCCCGACTCCTTCTGCAAGGACCCTCCCAGCAAACACTGCCCCAGTCTCGGGCTTTTCATGCAGAACCAAGCCTTAAGCAGCTAATCTGCAGATCTGGTCCCAAAGGCCGATAATCAGATGCAAATTCGTGGTTCAAGTTCCTCTGTCAAGGGAAACAACAACATTGCTGCATTTTCTCCTGCTTCCTCCGAAGTCTCCAGCAGGACTCTGTCTTCTATTGTAGCTGCTTGCAGGTCCAAATTAAAGATCCTCCCATCCTACAGAGCTGTCTGCAAACCTATATCCACACAATCCTACACCTCCCCACACCAATGGATTTCATTCCTGGAGAACAAAAAACTACTTTCAATAAGTAGGTCATAGCAAGGCAATTCGTACAGCCAGATTTTCCTTTTAATTCCTTTTTTCCCTTTTCAGGGAGTTGATAGATGGCAATCTATAGCCCCAAAGTGGAAATTTATTTTTAATCTGAAATGGCCAAATATGATCAGAAACGTAATTTATGCTCGAGACACTCTCGTTCCTTCCAAATGAAAACACGATTTTACAACGGCAGCCGTGCTATCGCATACCACATTATTCTCCAATAAGCTCCGAGTTGCACAGAAAGTGCTTAATTTCCTTGGCATTCGTCAGGTGAATGACACACGAGTTCGGGGGAGCTTTTCCTGAATAACTGCTGAGCTCTCCGTGTCCACAGCCATTCACCGAAGCCACAAAGGACGCGGGCTCTAACTCTGCTCGCTGCCTCATTTATGCCCTCGTTAGCGGTGGCCCCAATTAAAGAACAATAATTGGGAGCCTTACTTGGCCGGAGCCGTTCGGAGCCCTTCTCGCCCCAAAGGCATTCCCGCTCCGAGCTGCAGGAATCGCCTGTTCGGGGCTGTTTCTGGGGCAGGTTTTGGAATGCAAGCAGCATCCTCATGGGCGCTCAGTCCCTCCCAGGCAGGGACTCCCAGCACCCTCCTCACGGTGCTTAAAAACAACGCAGGAGACCCCATTAATCCCTGCTAGAGACGCTGTTAATATTTAACTGCAGTTTAGATAAACTTACAGTAACCATCCTATTAAATTTCAATAAAATGTGCTTTTGGGAGCCTTCCCCTAAAGCCACGCTGCCCTGCTCTGCCTGCACTTTGCACCAAGTGCCTCGCAGTAAAAAAAAAAAAAAAAAAGAACATTTTGTTTGCCCTTTAAAAAACTGCTGGGCTCGGGTTTGTCGCTTGCTCTCATCGTGCTCAGGGACTTCGGAATTTTCAAGCACGAATTAACTCCTTCCAGGGCACCCTCGGCAGAGCTGCAAAGCATCAGCCAAGGGGCTGGAGGAGCAGGTGCCCTGGAAAAGGCTGCAAATCTGCCCCAAACGGGTGCTGCAAAAGCCGGCACAGGGCTGATCTCCCTGCACCACCTCACCAGGTAACCTGAACCCACCCAAGGAAAGCCAAAATGCCCCTCAGAGCACTGCCAGCCCTAATACACAGCAGCATCCTTGAGGACACTCAATGAGAGGAACAGTGGATTTGTCTTTCCAAACCAGCTGTGGGGCTGCTGGTGGATAAAACCAGCACT